GACTTTTTCATCCTGCATAACTTCAACTTATGCCTTTGATCAAGATCTTTCCATGTCCCCCACCCCCTATCATGCCAGTTTTAAGCAAACTTCTATTTTTTAAATTATTATTGTAGTGGTTGTTCTTTCTTCCAGCACAATATCTATTCTTTTCTTTCATAGGACTTATCACAGTTTGTTTAATGTGTATCTCCTCTATATTTTCAGATGGTAGCATGGGCAATGATACAGAATAGGTATCTGAGCAGCTAACTACCTGTTGCTGAACTGCAGTAACACCAGTTCTGTTACTTCATTCAGCCAATATTACTGAGTGTTTACAATGTGTCACATACTATGTGGGGCTCTTTCCAAATGACTGGCCTTCACAAAAAACAGTCAGTTACAGACTTTTCACACACACACACAGAAACATATGGATTAAGGTTTTAGTACTAATTATACCAGTTTAGATGAAGTACTTTCTTTAGTTCATATCGCTAGGTCCTTGTCTCTAAGTGATACAAGTGACTCTACTTTTAAGAAAACAATTTCTATATACCTCTTAGATCATCGTAAACTACAGAAAGCATTTCACAAAGTGATGAAAACTGAACTTCTCTCTGTTTAGCTCTACATACCACCCATATGTCACAATGTCATCCCCTACATGCTTGTTCCTCCAGGCCTTAAAAAAAATTGTCAGATTATCTCCTGCTTTTGGTCAGTTTACCATGTCTATTGAGCATTAGCTGAATAATCATTCAATATTTTTGTACACTTTTCTCTAGAAGAAGAAACATAATTCAATTTCTCACTGGTTATTTATAATTACACACACACACACACACACACACACACATATAGTCCAAAACTGTAAAGGCAAGGCAAAGGAGAATGAACCACTTGGAAAAGTTTTAAAAACTAACACACTCCTTCACTGTTGGCCCTCCCAAGTTCTGTGTCTATTTTCTGGACTACACAGACAATGTCAGAAACCACAGAAATAACTTTAATCTAGTTACAATAGTTGGTAAGGAGGAGAATGCTCTGGTGGTTTAGAGGAATAAAGGAAATCCAAATCAAGATAAAGAAACATACTAAACAAGTGATTCGTTAAATTGGTTTACATTCGGCTCATTAAGAGATTTTCTTCTAGGCATGTCCAAGAGATTCAAAATTTAAAATGCAACTAATACCCTTATTGCAGAAAGTGAAGAAGAACTAAAGAGCCTCTTGATGAAAGTGAAAGAGGAGAGTGAAAAAGTTGGCTTAAAGATCAATATTCAGAAAACTAAGATCATAGCAGCCGGTCCCATCACTTCATGGCGAATAGATGGGGAATCAGTGGAAACAGTGGCTGACTATTTTTCTGGGCTCCAAAATCACTGCAGATGGTGACTGCAGCCATGAAATTAAAAGACGCTTACTCCTTGGAGGGAAAGTTATGACCAACCTAGACAGAATGTTAAAAAGCAGAGACATTACTTTGTCATCACAGTATAGTCAAGGCTATGGTTTTTCCAGTAGTCATGTATGGATGTGAGAGTTGAACTATAAAGAAAGTTGAGCACCTAAGAATTGATGCTTTTAAACTGTGGCATTGGAGAAGACTCTTGAGAGTCCCTTGGACTGCAAGGAGATCCAACCAGTCCATCCTAAAGGAGATCAGTCCTGGGTGTTCACTGGAAGGACTGATGCTGAAGCTAAAACCCCAATACTTTGCCCACCTGATGAGAAGAGCTGACTCATTTAAAAAGACCCTGGTGCTGGGAAAGATTGAGGGCAGGAGGAGAAGGGGATGACAGAGGATGAGATGGTTGGATGGCATCACCGACTCAATGCACATGGGTTTGGGTGGACTCTGGAAATTGGTGATGGACAGGGAGGCCTGGCGTGCTGTGGCTCATGGGGTCGCAAAGAGTTGGACATGACTGAGTGACTGAACTAAACTGAATACCACTTTGCCAAGGATGGATAAAGAATACATTTTTTGCCAAGGACTGGGTAGGATATCCCTGGGGGAAGACTAGAGAAGCATGGGCAAATTGGTTCTGCCAAGTGTAAGCAACTAACTGAATGAATGGATGAACAGAGGAATGAATAAGTAAATGGTGAGAGATGCCCTCCTGATGTTGCTTCATTTGTAATCAAGAATGTTAGAAGCATTTAGGGCTTCCCTGGTAAATCAACTGGTAAAGAATCCGCCTGCAATGCAGGAGACCCCAGTTTGATTCCTGGGTTGGGACGATCCCCTGGAGAAGGGATAGGCCACCCCCTCCAGTATTCTTGGGCTTCCCTGGTAGCTCAGATGGTAAGGAATCCGCCTGCAATGTGGGATACCTGGGTTCGACCCCTGGGTTGGGAAGATCCCCTGAGGAGGGCATGGCAGCCCACTCCAGTATTCTTGACTGAAGAATCCCCATGGACAGAGGACCCTGGTGGGCTATAGCCCATGGGGTCGCAAAGAGTCGGGCATGACTGAGCGACTCAGCACAGCACAGAAACATTTCAAAAATATTACTGCAGTTTGTAAGTGATTTTTTTAAGGTGGGGAAAATAATCTCAAGAAAAAAGAAAGGACTTGAGAAAAAAGAAGGGAAACAAGTAGTTTTTATGTAACAGCTGATGTGCTGCTGTAGGCAGGACTGAGACCCTTTTCCTAAGTCTGTGAGAATAAACAGACAGTTTTCATTAAACGTGCCTTTCCCATAACAGGTCCATAAGCATTTCCCATGACTCTGCAGTTGAGTATCTTGGCTGGAAGAGGATCTGGCCATTAGAAGGAGGGCTCTAGATATGCTGAGTCCAGCCGTGCTGAGAGACTTGGCCACTTTATATGTTACTTCCTAATACCAACCCCAGCACAAAATGTCATCAGAAACCTACATAAACATTGGACTTATATTCACATAAATTATTTCTGTACTGAGGGGCTTTATGCCAGAATTTAGCAAAAACAACACTTTGAGTAAACAGAATTGGCATATAAACATAAGAATATTAATCCAACAAAATGATCATAGAAAAACATAATCAACAGCACACACTTGTAAATCTTGTAGCGATGTGAGAGCTTTGTCTTGTGACTCTGAGTTTTTGTTGAACATTTCCATAGAGCTCCTTTAAGCTAATATTGCCAAAATACTTTGACTTATGGCTGCTTTATGGAATTGTAGTCTTCGAGTTCCATTAAAACATTTAGGAATTTTATTAATAATCATTCCATGCGATCAGTGCCTATCTAGTGCTGAATCTACAAATTCATTTTAAGAGAAAACATTGAGATGATGAAATATAAGGCCAAATATAATTGCCCCTGTCAGCAAAAACATGGTCTTATTTTATTAAAAATCACCGATAAAATGCCATGAACAAAACATACAGTTTCTATTTATGGGCATTTTCAATTCTGCAATACCCTGGTATCTGCATGCCACAAGGCTGTGTCTAGCAGAGTTTTCATTTTGCCTGGGGTATATACAGAAATAGAGAGGTATAAAATCCTTTTTTAAATGTGCACACATCTTATTATGCACAGCTTCCCCCAAAGTCCTATTTGGATTTTTGTTCTAATATGACGGTGCTTACACTGTCAGTACTGAGTATTTATAAGTGAGTGAAGATTTCCAGAAAATGATGATAATTTAACTATTGGCAATAATAACATTATAACATTTTCAGTGATCCATTTGGCTCTAAGTATTTATTAAATAATATTTGTTCCTAAAATATGTACTTACACAATTAAATGAGATTGTAACATGCAACAAAAGGACTTTTCTCTCTAAACTCCAATTGATTCCACTCCTCACAGATACCTCTCCTTGTGTTTATTCTGCTTTTACTATTTTCTACTCTCTCTCTGAACTCTCAGCTCTTCTCTCTGATGTGTTGATGTGCTTTTCCCCAAAGCTGCTCACTTTATCCACTCTCTCTACCCACTTGTCCCCTTCTTGTTATTCTCTCATTCCTTACTGATATGGGAATAATAGGATCCCAAGGCTGTCCTTACAGTATAATTAAAGTATGAATTTCCAGGAGTTGGAAATTGCAGACCATTTTTATTATGTTTCTATAATAAAGACAGGTAACATTGAGAGAATTAAAATGGCTTTTCCCTAGCAGATAACTTGGTAAAGATTTCTTCCCTTGGTTCTATTGTTTTAAGAGACTGGGAGCTGAAAAGGGGAATAGATTCACCAATTCTTTTTCTGAAAACACCTCTATCTTTTACATGATATATATCCCCCTAGATCCTGGGAATATGTTGTAAACTTGTAACAGATGGTGATGAAGCTTCACATTTTTATACAATATAGTTTTTGAGATTCTGCATCTACTGTATGTATCTTCCAGGGAAAATGACCTTGAATGAATGAAGTCAGAGTCTGAAGGAAAAACACCCTACAGATAGACTACCATAGAAATAATGAGTCAATTGGGTTTTGCTTTGTTCTCCTCAGTAAGATGAGATAATTTCAGAGGAAAACTAGAATGTTGAAATATAGGAATCAAAGGTCATCTTAACACTGGAGGTGTATCTGTTAATTGTTCCAGCAAAACTAGTTAGGCATGTCCTGTGCTGAACAGATACACGTGGAAAATGGAACATCACTGTTTGTAAGTAGGAGACTATTTGTTTCACTGGGTAATGGGGGCTTACCAAAATTTGTTCTGGCACAATGTCTACCAGCATGAATTTTAGGAGGGTTCTAACACTGTCAGTACTGATATTTTATGAATGTTTTATCACTGGCGGGAAAACAAGAAGTTTGCAATTGAACCAACAACACGTCAGAGAGCAAAATATTAAAAAAAGAACATTAGTGGGAATTATTGATGTCCCTACTGTGAAAACAAACTGAAGTTAATAAGAAACTTGATCCTCTTAACTGATTAGCAACAGTCAGGTTTTAATTGCATGGCTTTCCAGACAAATCAAGTGGTGCTGTTAATGTGAGCATGGGTTGTGTTGAGGGTGCAGTATTGGGGGAACGGCTGTACATTCAGTTACCCACCTCTTTTTTCGACAGCTTCAATGCACTGCTTTACAAACCGTGGAACTGTGGAATTTTCACGTTCACACAGTGTGTGCAGATGAGAGCCAAAAATTTGATCTGCAAAAGAAACAAAGATGAGCTTCATTAAAATCCAAGCTTGCGTTGTTCTTTAATTTGATTCTGTTTCCATATCCACTGAATGATGAAATCTGCATCTTGCATTGGAATCGATTTTTTGCTTTAATTCCAAAGTGTCTGTTGCAGACATGCAAGGACCATAGCTCCTTCCTTTATGGAACAGGACTCTGGCCCTAGAGAAAGAAAATGAACACCCTGCCATCGATTAGGCAGGGATGACTGAGTAAGTTATAGTCTCTCTGGGCTTAATTTCACTGTCTATAAAATAATGACTAGGAATTAAGAAAACTTCGACAAATTAATGAATCTTAGTGAACTGATGTCTTAGTGTTTGAGAAGAAGTTTATCAACAATCATCAAAATTAGGATGTTGTTAGTGTATTTAGATTCATTCAGTGGCACAATGATATTTGAAAAAAGCAAGTTCCAGAAGATTTATTTTGAAGTGAACGTTTTCACATTTCTCCTGCCTTGAATTTGTCCTTCCTCTAATCTAAGTATCCCCTTTCTTATCCAGAATTCCTATCTCAGCTTTATGTCTCCTGTGACATAGGTTCTTTGGAATACCAGTTTCTCAGGATGTTAATAGGCGAGTTGAGGGGGAAAACCTGTAATCAAAATGATTTAGCAACACTGGGTTAAACAAAGCTAAACAGGTTTCTTTCATGTGTACTTATTTTCAGAGCCTGTATTATGCCAATGTGCACCGGGAATCTCCAGGCAGGACTGAAGGATGCACTAGTTCCCAAACTTATTTGAGTAAGATCCTTTTATTTCAAAGGGCATCTCTCCAGACTAATGTTTCCGAGAACACTGTGTGAAATTCTAGCCTAGCTCTCTCATTTGGAACATGATTTATGCTACCTTGCATTGTGTATTTTCGCTTATAATATATGGAATGTATTTTCTCAAAGCAGATTCTGAGTGCTGCATTGCTTATACTGTTCTTTCGGTCAAGCACAGTTTTGGGTCCATGGTGTTCACTTAAGGATTTTTAAAACATTGTGGTAAAATACATATAATATAAAATTTATCATTTTAACCACTTTTACATGTCCAGTTTAGTGGCATTAAGTACATGCGCACTGTTGTGCAACCATCACCAACATCCACTTCCAGAACCTTTTTAAACAGCAGAGATATTGATTATTGACAATGAAATAAATATTTAGTAGGTTCAAGGACTTTCCATCTCACACGCAATGAAATCTAATTCCTTGACATCACTTCCAAGGCAGTAAACGACCTGACTTTCCACCAGTTTTCTGACTTCATTTGCTTCCTCTCTCCTGCTCATCGCTTGCTGCTGCCACTCTGTCTACATCACTGATTCTTGTCCATGCCAAGCACACTTCTGCCTCAGGGACTTTGGACTTATTATTTCTTCTGTGTGGGAATCAATTCCCCAGGTGATCAAATGTCACCCTCTTATTGTAGCATTTCCTATCCACCTTTAAAAAAACTGGCAACCTCTGCTGATAACAAATCTCCATGCTGCCCATAGCTTACTTCTTAGAGCACTTTACTCCATCTGACATATTAGATTGATATGTTTACTGGTTAGTTGCTCTCCTTGTTTAGAATGCAAAACCCAAGACAGCAAGGACTATTCCTATTTTCTTTATTACTGAATTCCCAGTAACTTGATACTCTTTGGCAAATACTAGAAGTTCAATAAATATTTACTGAATTATTGATATAAGACATCATCTTTTTTGTCAGCAGAAGTTTTCAAATATGTGAAACATATTTTTAGCACAGTTGCTGTTGTTCAGTCCCTTGGTCGTGTCTGACTCTTTGCGACCCCGTGGATTACAGCACTCCAGGCTTCCCTGTCCTTCACCATTTCCTGGAATTTACTCACTCATGTGCACTGAGTCAGTGATGCCATCCAATCATCTCATCCTCTGTCATCCCCTTCTCCTCCTGCCTTCAATCTTTCCCAGCATCAGGATCTTTTCTAATGAGTCAGTTCTTCGCATCAGGTCACCAAAGTATCAGAGTTTCAGCTTCGGCATCAGTCCTTACAATGAATATTTAGGATTGATTTCCTTCAGGATTGACTGGTTTGATCTCCTTGCAGTCCAAGGGATTCTCAAGAGTCTTCTCCAACACTACAGTTCAAAAGCATCAATTCTTTGGTGCTCAGCCTTCTTTGTGGTCCAAATCTCACACCCATACATGACTACTGGAAAAATCATAGCTTTGACTATATGGACCCTTGTCAGCAAAGTAATGTCTCTGCTTTTTAACATGCTGTTTAGGTTTTCCATAGCTTTTCTTCCAAGGAGTAAGCCTCTTTTAATTTCATGGCTTCAGTCACCATCTGCACTGATTTTGGAGCCCAAGAAAATAAAGTCTGTCACTGTTTCCATTGTTTCCCCATCTATTTGCCATGAAGTGATGGGACCAGATGAAATGATCTTCATTTTTGAATGCTGAGTTTTAAGCCAGCCTTTTCATTCTCCTCTTTAACCTTCATCAAGAGACTCTTTAGTTTCTCTTTGCTTTCTGCCATAAGGGTGGTGTCATCTGCATATCTGAGGTTATTGATATTTCTCTTGGCAATCTTGATTCCAACTTCTGCTGCCATCCAGCCTGGCATTTCTCATGATGTAATCTGCATTTAAGTTAAATAAGCAAGGTGACAATATATAGCCTTGATATACTCCCTTACCAATTTTGAACCAGTCTGTTGTTCCATGTCTGGTTCTAACTGTTGCTTCTTGACCTGCATACAGGTTTCTCAGGAGGCAGGTAAGGTGGTCTGGTATTTCTATCTCTTTATATTTTTAGCATAAGTGGGGGAAAATATAAGATGCAGCATAATACAATGGTAAATGATATGTTATTCAAAGGGACAGTCAACACAGACTGTGGTGAGACCTCAAGGAAATCATGATTTTCATCAATTTCTTAGGAAAGATGATGGCTTGAGTTGAGAACAACTCAGCAGGGAGGGAAAAAATTAAGGCTAGAGTGCTAATAATAATGCAATTTAATGTGGAAATGTGAGTTTTTGTCCAAGAGACAGAAAGAAGACAAGCTCAAAGCACACATCCACATAGTGTAGAGAAGTGAGAAATAATCATGAATATTTGCTTTGAATATCTGGTCTAGTAACAAAGATTCATTCAGAAACAGTAAGTCATCAACATAAGAAAGAAAAACATAAGATATTATTTAATAAAAATAATCCAGAACTTCAGATTTGATCATTTAAACTGGTTAGAGATTACAGAAGGGAAGAATTGTTATATAGAATAAAATCTTTTAATGATAGTCATGATTCAAATGAATTTCAGAAATATTTACTGAGTATTCTCTATAGTTGTAGCAATGAGTAGGTATATTAGGTTGTGATAAAGATATCAAGAAGCTTATAATATTGTAGGGCTAACAGAAATATTCTGTTAATAAATAATAAATTATAAGGTAATAAATAGAATATATAGCAGGTATCATAAAAAGTACTTAGTGCAAAGGAAGATGTTCTAAAATATAGGCTTTTTTTCTGTCATTTAGTGCCAAGGTGGTATGTGGAAAGGGGGAGGTTGAGGGAGGATTTATGAGATGGAGATCATTCAAGAAAGATAAATTCTTGAATGAAGATGATGCTGAAGTCTGGAGAAAGGTCTCTTTCTCCTTTTTTTTTTTTTTTTTCCTGACAGGTAGATACAGGAAAATGAAAAAGATGAAGATATTCTAGTGTATTTTCTCCTTCACTCATTCTGTTATTTAAAAGAAATCCTAAGTGCCTGCTCTGTGTCAGGAGCTAGCAAAGGCTCCTTTCCAGTGCTCTAAAAGTTTCTTGTCTAATGGTGACATCATATAAGTAAATAAGCAAGAACAAGTCATCATGAATCATACTATTCCCAGGGAAGCACATCCAGTGGGAACATGTTAGGAGGAGCATTGAGCACTTATGGAAGACTTCCCAGAGAAGAACTGAGTTCTCAAAGTTAAGTAAGACTTAGCTTGGAGATGTAAGGAAGAGAACAAAAAGGGCATTTGGAGAGGATGAAGGAGAGTTAAATAATCAGCAATGAGAGAGTGATGAGAAGAATCATCTTGGTGTGACTGTACAAAGGGAAACATACGTTTCTTCTTATTTAGAGAAATCTTCATGTATGAAGCTTTAAGAGGAGATAAAGTTTGTTATGAGGAGTCTTAACTATTTAGTCAAGTAGGCATTTATCTGAGAGCATGAAAATGTGACTGATTTGTTATACATACACCATTTCCCTCCCAACTTCTTTCTTGTTTTAGAGTCCACTTATAAGACAGATTCTGATGTTCAAATGGTCTCCACTGACTTCTGCTTCCTTTGTAGCTTTCAGTTCAGTTCAGTTCAGTTCAGTTCAGTAGCTCAGTCTTGTCCAACTCTATGCAACCCCATGGACTGCAGCACACCAGGCTTCCCTGTCCATCACCAACTCCCAGAGCTTGCTCAAACACATGTCCATTGAGTTGGTGACACCATCCAACCATCTCATCCTCTGTTGTCCCTTCTCCTCCTGCCTTCAATCATGTAGATTTAGTTAGTTTAAAATTAGAGAGTTCTGGTTGGTAAAATGCAAGGGGCTAAGACTTAGGAAACTAAAAAAGATTTTTTTCCTGATAAAAGGAGAGAGGTACATGAAGGCACTTTGTCTTTTTTCCTTCATGAACATCAACGTGCAACTTTGCAATGCCTGGTGCTACTGCTGCAATCTTGTCACCACGAGATAGGAAGTTTGCAAGCCAAAGCTAAACATGATTAAAAAAAAGAAGCTACAAAGACCTGAGACCTCAGTGATATTGTTGAACTTCTAAACCTGTCCTAAAACACTTTCTCTATACTGCTTATTATATGGAATAATATTAACAATTTTTAACTGGATATTCTATCTCCTGTAACCAAAATATTCATAACAAAATGGTGGGGGGGGGGCACAGATTGTGGTGAAGACTGAACACAAAAGATCTGTTAAGAAGCT